CTCGGGATGATGGTCACGGATGGTTAGCTACACTGAGTGATATGGCTGGGNCCACTCGTTATTTTCCTAAAACCACTCTATATGTATTCCCCATCTTCCGCTTGAATTTGCTTGGACATTCCAATCTTCATTTCGCTCTTTTATCCAAATGGGCAACCAAAAGACAACGACCAAAACCGCCGCACGAAAGTGCATGGTTAATGGTTGTAAAAACTGAAAGTGAAACCGGATTACTTTCATGCTTGAATGTGTGTCGGCACGGGGGAAACAAGTGCGTACACAGCTTCTCAGGTGACACGAGGGATTATAGTTCAGCACCGGATCAGTCGTTGTCGTTTTCCTGCAAAAAGTGGTTTCTGCATTTTCGGCTGTTTTTTTTTCTTTGAATGAAGACGTCCAAAGAAGGACGCTTCGTATCGTTTTCCTCCTCGTGGGTAAATGCTACCCTTAACATAACCTTCTTTGGATTATGGAATATATATATATAGTGTGAGATGCTTGGCTCGTGTGTGCACCGGGATATCCGCCGTGAACGGATACACCAGACAACTGCAAGTTGGCTGAGTCTAGGTGTGGGCTGAAACCGTCGACAGAGAGAATGTTCTCCGTGGAGAGGGAGAACTGACAATCTGAAAGAGAGGCAAATACACACACCATAAACCAAAAGGTCCAGTGAGACATGAACATGACTCACACTCGAACGGAATGGCAAGTTGCCAAGGTCGTTACACTATCACCGAATTGCCACTATGGTACCAACGCTACGGCCGTAAAATAGAAAAGAGTACGATTGGAGCAGAGAAGAGAAAGACGTGGAAAAGAAACATTTTGGGAGAAACAAAAGATCGAGAACAACGACGTTTTCGGTTTGCTTCAACCTACATTTTGTTTTACTACTATTATGCTTTTCGTTATTTTATACAACAGAGGATATCCTCGAAAAGACCGCATAGCATTCGCGCAATTGACTTTTATTCTGAGGCATATTTATTAGTGTATCTAACCAGCGACAATCCTCATCGATTGCGCGAAGACCTAGAGGGTGGGCCACATCAGCCAAAACTGAAGCTAACCTCTGCATATCCCTATACCACGTCATCGTCATGGATGGCCGTGACACCCCTTCCAGCCTAATCCTTCAGATGCAAAGAGAGCACGGAGGGGTAGACGATGAACAGGCAAATTGAACGAGTCATCGAAGCCGGTGCAAAGCAATTTCTTTTGTTAGAGAACGAATATCAGAACCCAACATTCGACGACGTCCTCGTCATGGTTCATCCGATGTTCTCATCAGATGCGAGTAATGCTTGAAAGACATCGGTGTTTCAATACAGAAAGTTGACTAGCGTTCTGAGAGAGGGGAGACCACATTTCGTAACCGGAAAGCAGAACAATAGGAACCGTAGTGATGTACACCTCTCCCTCAAGTTGAAGTCAGATATCATGTAGTCATTGCGACTGTTACGGCTTGATAAAAGATCTACCTTTTGCTATTTGTGTTGCGATCTCTTTCCGAACTCCACTTCCAACTACGATCAATCACCCGAGGTATTTAATGCCCTTAACCTCTTCCAGCTGATCACCTTAAAGGATAAGTGCAGATGCAGGCTGCTATCAGTAATGCATTTGGATAGTTCAAAACATATACCATATCTAGATACCCCGATCACCAAGAGGTTTAAAATAAGTTGTATTGCTTATGGGGTGGAAAGAAGGAGATGCTTGTGGGGTCTGGTTCATGGATGATGGGAAAATATTTAGATGGTCAGAGTTGGAAATCGTTCGGGGCCGGGAGATTCGTTCATCTTAGGTTTCGTAGCCGTGGGTAACTCGGGGGTTTCGCCGTTGGCTGTCGGCTAGATTTTGCTTCACTCCTGTGTTTTTCTGTTTTTTATGGCAAAGAATACGGGTCACTTTCTATCAATTCAACTCCGACAACAAGAGGGTGATGTTTCGTTAATCCTATATGAGGGTGTAAGTTTAAAGTCCATGGACCAACAAAATAGACACAGGCATTTGGTATAAGAATAACCACATGCTAAGATCAGATGCAACGAGTTTCGGGTTCGTAAGAAATCCAGCTTCGTAATGAGCAATGAAACCCTGACAATTCTCATTGTCTGTGTGTGTGTGTGTGTGTGTATGTTTGGGCTTATAGTGAGAACGATTTGGCGAGAACGGCACTTGCTAAGGTCAGCAAACAAAATAACTGTGAGATAACAGATTGTGTGAGAAAGATTTATGAATGTTTTAGTGTTTGGTCATAGAGTGGTGTACCAAGAACTCTCGAGAGGTACGGTTACTTTTACACACGGAAAGAATTTTGATAAATCCGAAGATAATTGTAAAGTCGTTATTGAATATACCGGGGGAATCATGGGCAACCCATAAACGTTAAATATCGACGGAAGTGACTTAGAGTGAAAAATGTATAATGTAAAACGTATTACCTTCCATAATGTGTTTGTGATATAATGAGAACAGATAATTTTATGGCTAAAGATTAAATGAAGTTTGTCTTTCCATCGAAACGGGTATGGGAGGACCAGTACTCAATTATTTTTGGTATTTGCAATAGGGAAAAATCGTGGACATGAAAACTTCTTGATGTTCAACTTCAGGTTTTAAGGTAAAGAGGTAGGCCGACACTTTCCAGCATGCACAACAAGGTGAGATCTTCTTAAATGCCGTAAAAACAACTGAGGTGCAAACAATCGAACGAAAATGTTCCATCGTACCGGGCTGATTGAGGCTTCTCTCTAACAGTTGAGAATACTTCGATGTGCAAGCCAACGACTGAAAAGTTCAGATACTGCGGAGGAAATGGAGGCAATCCATTCCATCAGAGCATTGGGTGAAATTCTACCTGGTCCCTTTATCTTTTTAGGATATAACCGCGTCGATGCACATGAAATGTTTGCAGGATAAGTGATAGAAACCGAATGGCTCAAATTCACGATACACTCCTTCGTCATGATTGGAAATAAGGATTCAGTATATAGATAGCTCTCGTTTGTGCTGACTTTATCCAAAGCAGCTGAGCGGTCGGAGGATTTGGTACCAGAACTCCTCATGAGGACCTACCAGGTCTGACGACAGTTTTTGTATTTAATTTGGAAACCTGAACCCTTGGGGTGAATGGATTTTGAGAAGGCTTACATTGCAGTGGTCTAAGGTTTTCTGAACTGTGCTCATTGATTGATTGGCTGATGCTGCCCCCTACCACACATGCATGCACGCTTCTCGAACTTACTCTGTAGTAAGATCCATCCGTTTCAACCAATCAAGTGTTGATATTGAACTGCCCCTGGCTGCTTGATTCGTTGACTGTCTGACTGCCTGTTTAATCGCATTCGGATATCATGTAACACAAGCATCTGTTTTTGGCCTGACAGAATGTTCTTCGAACGTACTTTTTGATAAAAATGATGTTTTCTCCTTTTAATTAATTGAATACACAAATGCACAATCAGTTTTCAGGAAGAGAGCTGCAACCAAACGAAGGTTAACAGGAAAAACATAGAAATGGAGAATTTAGGTGGCGGCGTGATCTGAACTCACGAAAGTTTATGGTTAACGATTTTTCAAACTGAAACTGAAGTGGATTTCTTTCATCCGCGCTCGGATGACGTGTTTGGTGGTAAACATCTCACTTGTCCATAGACTTTGACAAACGTATCGCCCACTTTCTGACCGTACAATTATCGGTTCAGTCAATTATGCTCAGCTGGAGATGCGCAACTGGGTTGAGATCATGTTACGCTGCTGATTACTGATTGAAACATTTAAAAATGATTACTTTCCCCCCTCCCTACTTCCTGTAGTTAGAAAGTGAATTACGTATAACCCGTTCCGAGTTNGGAGCCACTCAAGCGGAAGAACAAGCTACTCTGAAAATGGCTCTGATGCGCGGAATCTGTGCGTTAAATATGGAAACCATGAGCTTGTTTCACAAAGACACCCGAACGCAATCGGACGAAGAGCCGGGCAGAGATATGGCAAATCAGAGCGCACAACACAACAGGACCACCGGTACCGAGTTGTTTTCCAGTCGATATGCCTTGATCAGCGGTAATCGGTCTCGGGGTGAACCCAGCACTACACATACACCCTACGTGCCGGACGGATCTGTCAACGGGAACGGTAAGTGTATTTGCACNCACATTTCTCTGATCTACTCTAAATCGAGTTACATGTCCGTCTAGTTCGAATGCTGCATTGTTGCATCCTAATGATTGCTAGAATATTTGAGGGTTTGTTGGAGTCACTGAGTGCGGCCGAGCAATCCCTAATGATTTGCAAAGCACTGGTTTCTGATGTTGCTATATATAGTGCCCCGAAAACAACAACCTTGAACAAACGGTTCATGACCGTCACACTATATTGGTCCTTCCAAAAGACCGGAAATTCACAGAAAGGTTTGCAGAGTTTTCTAAAACATCTGTTCGGCGATCAGATTGTGATATAAAACTTTAAAACTTAGGAGTTCATCAAACTTTGTGACGAGTATAATAAAGATTTTTTGTTTCTACATTTATCGACGTTCTTGGAAGAGATGAATATTTTAAACAGTATGTCCATTTTATATATTTGATGACCACAGAAAGAAAATAGATTTGGCGAGACATAAGCGTTCAACTTACGTATGTGAGACCACTTGATTTTTATGCCATATTAGGGGAATAAATGGAGTGTGAAATTCGATAAAACAAGAGTGAGAATGATTAATAGTTTGCCCCGCGACAATTTGAGGAGAATTCGGAGTCAGACTATATATGTGCACAAGAATGTTTCGTGTTTTGTGATGAGCAATGCCTCATAAAATGTCAGTTGCTTTGGATCATTATTGCGCAACGTGAATTTGAACGATGAGGTACGGCAAACTGGTTGTCAGTTGTCCTGACGTGTCTCATAATCCATGAAATCAGATTGTTTTATTTGAGCTGCACCGTTTTGACCTGCTACATATTCAATGTATGTATATATATATATATGTATTGTTTGAAAGCCATGGATTAGTGCATGCACTTGCCCATTGTTTCATTCCATCCCTGCAGCCTCTGGCTTGAATGAGCGTATCCCGGGCTACCCGCTGGAGGCCTGGCCCCGTCAGATGCCCCTCGGTTCTATGCTAACAAAGGCCGAGATGAGCAGATCATCCACGGCTCCAGGCGGTCCCAATCCGAATGAGTTCTGTGCTCGGTGGTTGGATCAAACTCAAATGGAATCAGTAATTTTTGTTTATGTTTGGAGATTATGTGGGATAAATTCTGCC